TGATGTTATCTGAAGGGTGGGGTTTCCTGATCTAAATATCTCTCTTAGGGCCTCTAAGAGTGTGTATGCCTGACACACTATCAGAGGTTCCTTCTGGCAGGATTTGAAGAGGACCTTACTAGATTGGAGTTGATCAATGCATTTCAGTTTTGGTCAACCAATATTAACGTGTATTATGCAAGTTTAATGAGTAAAGAAGGCCTTGAAGGGAAGAACATGCCTAGTCATGAGAGGAGAAGCAAGCAAAACAAGGGATAAAGCAAAACACAAGACAAAACATTCAGGCCACTAAAAAGCAAAGAAACTTCACCATTGACAGACAAAGTCACCATTTTAGCTGGGTTGGCTCTTCTCTGCTACAAAATCCATTTTCAGTCAGCTTGGGTATGCTATTCCAAAACTCCTTCATGTGGGACACTGAAGTCTACATAAGGATAATAATAATAATTATTATAAAATGAACCCTAGCAAATAAAGAAGAACTGTGACTTCTGAACTAAGGAACATCATGTAGGGACAAATTAAGATAGGAATTGGGTCTTTAGAAAGTTGCTTAGAAATCAGGTCAACTCAGATCTTTCCCCCATGACTATCAGTGAAATATTGGCTCCTGTATTTTCATTTCCAGTAAGTGTCATGTTTAACTTGGAAATCTGACAAATACCAAAAACCCCTGCCCCATAGTTCACAGTAGTACTGGGAGGATGAAACGGGACAAAAAGAGGCAAAAGCTTGTGTGTGTTGTAAAGTGCTAAATGACAGTATAAGCAGCCCTCTTGCTCGAAGGAGAAAAGAGAACAGGTGGGATCTCCGCGTCATAGCCTTTGCAAGACTGCTCAGCAATAATTATAAAATTTTAGTTCTTCAAGGCCATAGTACTTTAAACACTTTCCTTAAGAATCAAGATTAACGCACACTGTGAATTTAAAAGTAATACCTAAAAACAGACACTAGTACATTTCTAACAAATGAGCTCTTTCTAATAAATCACCTTCTATAATGAAACTCTTTTGTCACAAATAAGCATGTTAACAGAGAAATTTATATATGACTAGATTATTAGAATCATATTTTGTTAGAATTAGGAAAGGCGGGGCACCTGGGTGGCTCAGTTGGTTAAGCGACTGCCTTCGGCTCAGGTCATGATCCTAGAGTCCCTGGATCGAGTCCCGCATTGGGCTCCCTGCTCAGCAGGGAGTCTGCTTCTCCCTCTGACCCTCCCCCGCCTCATGTGCTCTCTCTCATTCTCTCTCTCTCAAATAAATAAATAAAATCTTTAAAAAAAAAAAAAAAAGAATTAGGAAAGGCTTAGTTCATCTCTATAAACTGTCTTCCCAGCCTCTTGCCCTCACCAACCTTTCTTACAACAGGAAAACTGAGGGGCGCCTGGGTGGCTCAGTTGGTTAAGCAACTGCCTTCGGCTCAGGTCATGATCCCGGAGTCCCGGGATCGAGTCCCGGGATCGAATCCCGCATCAGGCTCCCTGCTCAGCGGGGAGTCTGCTTCTCCCTCTGACCCTCCTCCCTCTCGTGCTGTCTCTCATTCTCTCTCTCGCAAATAAATAAAAAAATCTTAAAAAAAAAAAAATTTTACAACAGGAAAACTGAGATAAAGATTGAACCCAGACTACACTGTAGATTTCCTGTTCCTGGCCTAAGGCTCTCTCTTCTATAAAATAATTTTTAATAAAATATTTCAAATATAAAGAAAAGCATAATAACAAATACCCGGATTTTTAAAATGTTAACATCATATGCTTTGAATCTTTTTTGACAGGAAATGGCACTTTAATGCTTTGAATCTTTTTTTTTTAAAGATTTTTTTTTTTTTTAATTTGAGACAGAGAGAATGAGAGAGATAGAGCACACGAGAGGGGGTAGGGTCAGAGGGAGAAGCAGGCTCCCTGCCGAGCAGGGAGCCCGATGCAGGACTCGATCCAGGGACTCCAGGATCATGACCTGAGCCGAAAGCAGTCGCTCAACCAACTGAGCCACCCAGGTGCCCTTTGAATCTTTTTTTAAAAAGAATTAAAATATTATGTATCAGCCGATGATGCCCATTCCTCTATTCCATTCCCCTACCACCTTCTCCAGAAATAACCACCATATTGAGGTTGGGGTATACTCTATTCTTCCTGTTCATGTTTGTATACACTCAAATGATTATATATCCATAAACCACACCATGTTGCCACAAAACGAGTTGGTGTTCAAAACAAGGAGTCCCTCATTCTAGTACGCTTGCATGCAATTGAAACCTTTGGGGCTTGGCTGGGTATTTCAAAAAGAAACTAGGGCAGAGCTTAAAGTCTTTTTTAATGATTACCATAGAAGGATCTAGTGATGTGTCTTACCATTTAGAGTGAAAAATAAATCTTAGGCAAATATAAAAATTTAAATACAACTTTTTTTTTTAAATCCGTCTCAAGTTAGCACTTCATATTTGTGAAACCCTGGTTTATAATGACCTAGTGTGAATGACCTGTCACGGAACAATAGGGAAAGATGGATTAAGCAATTTAACTAGTAATAATAGTTTCTACTTCTGCTTCAAGATCCAGCTCAAATGTCACCACCTTAATGAATCTGTTCTTGATCCCATCAGAATTAATTCCTTCAACAGTCATTTATTGAGTGCCAGAGCCCTGTAGATACAAAAGTAGATCAGACCCAGTTCCTGCCCAGGGCTCAGAAATAATTACACAATAGTTTTTGATAAATGCTCTAACAGAGGTATCCATAAAGCGTTAGTGAAATCTATACTTTTCCTGGACCAATCGGAGAAGACAATACAGAGGAGGCGATATTTGAGATGCATCTTGCAGGATGAGTAGGAGCTCACAAAACAGAAGATAAAAGGTCATTCCAGGTAGGGAGACACTGAATGAGAGGGTACAAAGGATGGTAAGATATCAGTTTTAGAAAGATAACTAAGGATAGACATCAGAGGTATAGGGATAAGTTAGAAGACTAACAACAATTCAAGCGAAAGATGATATGATTATAGGCATGAGGTGGGAGGGGGAAGGATTTTAACAAAATTTGGGAGATAAATTCAGCAGAATTTGATGCTTCCTTGGAGGGAAAGAAAGAACGTGGAGTTGGGGATGACTCTCAAAGGCTTGGCAAAATGAGTGGGCAGTGAGGCCATTAACTAAAATAGGAAATACCATACAAAAGATAAGAACAGGCCTGGGGTTGGGGGGTCAAGTTTCCTTTGAGGCACTTAGAGTTAGCAATGAGAACTCTTCCTTGGGCCTTCAACAATTTCCTTTTCTAGGCCAGAAATCACCCCTTCCTCTGAATTCCATAGCATAATGTATACCTTTTCCACATCAGATTATTTAAATCTGCTGTATCTATAAGTATTTACAAGTTTGTCCCTACCTTAAACCATGAAGAAAAAGTACTAGGTCTTGTTCTCTGCGTATTGTCCTTATCTCAGAGCCTTAACATACAAAAAGCCTCAGCCAAAGTTTGCATTCTTGAAAAGGGAGCTCCACCAGATACTAGAAGCAGTCGGTTAACATTTATCAAAACAATGGCCAAAACTTGTGAGTTATTGACTTATATAAAATATCTAAAGCATTTGGTCTACAGCACCTGCTTTTAGATCCTTTTGTGCTTATCTTATCTTACTTTTTTATTTTTTTAAGTAGGCTCCACGCTCAGCGGGGAGCCCAACGCGGGGCTTGAACTGACGGCCCTAAGATCACGACCTGAACTGAGCTAAAAGTCGGATGCACAACCAACTAAGCCACGGGGGCAACCCTATCTTATCTTACTTTTAAACAAACCTGCAAGGTAGTTGTATTCCTATTTTACAGATAAAGCAACAGGTCAGAGTGTCTGAATAACTTTCCTGGAGTCACAAGGTTTGCAAGTTGCTTAACCAAGATTTGGGCCGACTGGTTTCTTCTCAGAGTTAAGCTTCTCTGTTCTAATTCTCAGTTGGGCTGAAAAGTAGATCTTTTGGCTCCTGAGGGGGTAGCACTCTCTGGTTCGGCGGGAACTGCGAGAGGGGCCTCACCCCTATCATCTCATTGAGTCTAAAGCGCCCCCCTCCCAGCAAAGTGCCCATGCGGGCACATCCACTGCAGACGGCAGAGCTGAGAGGGGGCCCAAGGGCCCGGAGGGTGAGCTCCCTGCCCGGGGACCCAGCATTTTGCGGTATTCACTCCACGAAAGCGCATGGGATCACTTGGCCCTCCGCTCAGATGAAGCGCTGGCCAGGCTCCAACCCCGAAGCCCGGAGTGGGCGCGTGCGGCCAGAGCCTCCCAGCCTGGCCCCGCCGGGGATGGGGGCGGGGTGGGCCGGGGCGGGGGAAGCCGTAAGTTCTCACAAATAGGGGCACTGGAAAACGGTGGTGCAGTTACTGCCCTTGGGACACTGAAACTCGTCCCGTACCTTCCTCCGCAGTCCCGTGCGGCGCGCCGGCCCGGCCGGCAGCCCCGGTTCCGCCGGCCGGAGACCGAGGTCGGGGCGGGGAGAAGCCCTGCCCACTGGCTGCGGCGGGAACCGGCCCCACGACGGTGCGACCGAGCGGGCCAGGCATTTACCTCAGACCGCGCCGCTGGCCCCCGGAGGCCGCGCCCAGGGCTCCCTCACCGCCTCTCCGGGTTCTCGGTCCCGCCCGACACCTCCGGCCAGGAACCGGAGGGCGAGGGAGAGTGAGAGGGTGACAGAACGCTTCTGGGGACCGGCGCGAGAGCCTCCAAAGGCCGCAGTATGGAGCAGCAGCCGCCCCGGGCGTGCAGCTGAGGCGCGAGGGCTCGGGGCAGTCCCGCCCGTGGAAGGGGCGTGTCCTGGCGCGTGCGGAAGGAGGCGCGAAGGGCAAGGGGCGGTCCCCCCCGCGAAGCCCTGGAGGGCGCGAGGAGGGGGCGTGCCTCACGTGAGCCCTCCAGGGGCCGGAGGTGCGCGGGTAGAGAGGAGAGCGCGTGCGCGGACCTGGTTGTTGGCTCCTCCTTCTCCTCTTTCTGGGGGCAAAGGGTAGGCAGTATTGGTCTGGACATCAGCGCCTCATCCGCGCTTGCAGACTCCAGCCATGGCGGGGCCTGAATGGGAGTCCCTGGAGCAATGTTTGGAGAAGCACCTGCCACCCGCAGACTTGAGGGAGGTGAAACGCATTCTCTATGGCAAGGAAACCAGGTCTGGGGCCCAGAGGCTCGGGTGGGGAGACCTTGGGGCCACCGAGTGTGGGTCTGGGGAACCAGGGAGAGTGCTTCAGGATCTGAAGGGTTCTGAGGGGGCCATGAAGATCGGAGTTGGTGAGCAGAGGCCTTAGGAGATCTAGATGTGATGGCTCTGGGCCTCAGGGGTTCCCCAGCCCCCAGTGACCTTTACAAGCCAGTTCTCCCCTTGTTGCCCAGAACTCGGAAGGGGAAAAGACCCTGGAAGGGAAAGGCCAGTTTTGCTCTCTGTCGCTTACCCTGTGGCCACCCAGCTTTCTTTACCTACTTCCAGTGACCAGCTTCCTCCCCAGAGGCAGGCCTATGCTCTGGGGTCTGTCTGGGTCAGTGCTTCCAGCCAGAGCCCCTAGCAAGTCACCTGACTGTCCAGGCCCAGCCCTTACTTCCTGCACTGACTGGGCCTCTGGCAGATCCTCGAGGTAGAGGCTGGCTGAATCTGGTTAGAGTAGGAACCTTGCCCATTGGCAAGGCCCAGGAGTTAGTTACCACACTTAGTGCAAATGTTTTTCCACTCGCAGCTAGTCGTGTGCATCACTAGGACATTCTGAGGTTAGTGCACTGCTGGACACTGGGTATACAAAGCTGGAAGACATTTTCACTCTTGGTTCTCTTCAATCCACTTTTCTCCAAGCAACCCAAAGATGTAAATCATATCTTGTTGCTCCTTTGCCTAAAACTCTTTGAAGGAGGGGCACCTGGGTGGCTCAGTCGGTTAAGCATCTGCCTTTGGCTCAGGTCATGATCCCGGGGTCCTGGGATCCAGCCCCTGGTTGGGCTTCCTGCTCAGCGTGGAGCTTGCTTCTTCCCCTCCCTCGGGCCCCCCCACCTTGTGTGTGCATGCTCTCTCTCTCTCAAATAATGGATGGAATCTTTAAAAAAAATAAAAAACTCTGAAGGATTCCCATGGCTCTTAGAATGAAATCCAAACTCTGAACCCATGCAGCTTCTGACTTAATCTCCTTCCACTTCCTTGCCCACTGGTGGGCTCCCCGCCCCCCAAGCCAGACTGTGCACTTCCTGACCTTGTGGCAGTGACCTTGAGGCAGGAAACTGATAAACCTGAAACTCAAGGGTGTTGATTGGGTCAGTGGTTCCCAGCCACTGGCTGCAGTGGAGTTACTGCAGGGAGGCCAGATCTCAGATCTAAGAGGACATAAAGTGAACTTCACCATCCGCTAGTGAACAGGGCTAGTGGATGGTAAAGGTAGAACAACTGCCTTTGGGGGTAGGAGTGGTACAGAACTCTGTTGAAAAGGGCTCTTCATACCCAAAGAGGGATACCTGGGACTGGATGACCTTCAAGGTCCCTCCAGTGAAATCATGCTGACCTACTACTTACCACCATACCTGTCAAGAGGGAAGCGTCTTAGAGTTGAAGGTGTTGAAGGTGTCTTAAAGGAAGGGTCTCAGGATGGGAATAGGTTTGTTTTGTTTTGTTTTGTTTTTAAGGATGAGGTGGGCATATTCTTCTGGGAACAGAAATGGAGAGAGTTTGTGGTGTCAGAGAGAGGTAAAGCACAAGAGTCTTAGGAAAAGAGAAACAAGTTTCTCATGTAAGTGACTGGCTGAGGCACATTCTAGAGACTGGGATAAGGACTACCTTGCAAGAGGGACCTTATGTGAGCATTTGGATCTCTCCAGAGTGGGGAGGAATTATAATGGGTGGTAAAATGAGAGCCAACACCCATTGGCCAGTGATGACTGGGCCTCATTGAAGGGCTTGGCTTATAGTAACTGTTCATGAAAGGTTCTCTTCCACTCAGCACTGAGGCCTTCCAGGCTTTACCTCTAGGGTATTATCCTTTGTACTTGCTCAGTTCTTGCAATTGGATGGGATTTGGCTATGCACATGACTGTGAACTGAAGATAGAAAATCATCAGTCATTTAAAAACCTTCTCCCACTTAAACCCCTGCTCACTCCTTATAGCCTGACTGACATGGCCACCTCTGTGAAGGCCTGGTGGAGCCCGAGTCCTCAGCCCCTCCCTCAGGACTCCTGACTGCATTCCACACAAGACCACCTTCTCTCCTGATTAAGTGCTGTGCCAAGCACAAAGACAATGCTTAATAAGTGTATGTCAAGTAAATGAGCTAAATGGGCTTTTGCCTAGGCCAGGCAGATGAAATCCTCAAAGAGCATGGACTCTCAATTTTAAGACAGCCAAAACCAAGAAGCATTTATTCATTCAACAAACATTTAGTGCATGTTTATTTTTGTCCTGGGCACTAGGAGTACATGGTTCCCCCCTTGGAGGGGCTTTCCGCCTTTTGATGGTTGCCATACACGGTGAGAGAAGGATGCAAGGAGAGCTGGAGAGAGTGTACATGAACAGAGGTGGAGGTGAAGGAGATGGAGAAGTTGGTTTGGAGACAGGAAGGGCTCAGGTACTCCGGGTCATGGCCCAGACACCAGGGAGCATGCTCATTCAGGGACTGCATGTGTAGAATGCTGTGGGGAGGAGGCAAAAGTAGGCACGGTAGGCCCAGGGATTCTGTACACCATGCTAAGGGAGCGGGACCTGTCCTAATGGTGGTGGGAGTCTTTAAAGAATTTGAAAAGAACAGGTGAAAGATGAGGAGGCCTAAAGTAACAGAGTACCTGGGAGCCAAGAAGAGGAAGGGTTCCAGAGGTCTTGGGAGGTCAGCAAGCGGTGTGGATAGCCAACACAGCAGAGGAGGCAGATCGGGTGGCTGGTTCATTCATCTAATGAGGAGCAGCTTTGGGGAAGTCTGATGAGTTGAATTGGGGATACTGTCCAGTTTCCTAGGGCTGCTGGAACAAATTACCACACACTGGTGGCTTAAACCAAAAGAAATTTATTCTCACAGTCCTGAAGACCAGATGTACAAAATCAGGGTGTCAGCAGGGCCACACTTCTCCAGAGGCTCTGGGGGAGAATCCTTCCTTGCCTTCTCTAGTTTCTGGTGGCTTCTGGCATCCCTTAGCTTGTGGCAGCATCACCCCAATCTCTGCCTCTGTCTTTACATGGCCTCCTCTTCCCCCTGACTCTCCCCTGGGCATCTCTTATAAGAATACTGGTCACTAGATTTAGGGCTTGCCTGGATAATCCAGGATGATCTTATCTTGAGATCTTTAATTACATCTGCGAATGTCCTTTTTCCAAATAAGGTCTCATTCACAGGTTCTGGGTATTAGGATGTGGATGTATCTTTTGGGGAGCCTCAGTTCAACCCACTACAGGAATTGTGCAGAGGTGGTCCTCACTGGGGGAGGCTGGGCTTGGGACTGTCCTCATTGCAGGCGGAAGAGTGCGTACAGAGTGGGACAGGCCCAAGGAGGGATTCAGGAGAACCTGCTGTTAAAAAAAAAATCAGAGGAAGTGGAGACTTTGCATGGTACTCCAGAGGTGAGGAAGTAGGGATCAGGGGCCCTAGAGCAAGTATCAAGGACAGCAAGCAGGATAGGGACAGAGTGTCAAATGGTATAGGGAGGTCTAGAAGGATGAAGACAGGAGTGTGAGTCTCTCCCATTGCTAAAGCCAACCAGAAGGCTGGTGGCAATTCAGAGTGGGGGAGTGGGCCCCAGGGAATAGGGGGCTGAGGAAAGTGTGAGAGGTGAAGGCTTTGGGGAAGCTCCCTATGAAGGGGAGGTGAGGAGAGCAAGTGAGGTAACAAGAGGGACCTGTGGAGTGTTTCCTTTTTTTCTCTGTTATTTTTTTAATGGGAAAGATTTAAATAGCTTTTTTTTTTTTTTTTTTGAGAGAGCATGAGCAGGGGGAGGGGCAGAGGGAGAGGGAGAAGTTGACTCCCCACTGAGTGCAGAGCCTGGGGTGGGGCTCAGTCCCAGGATGCTGAGATCATGACCGGAGCCAAAGTCAGGAGCTTAACCACTGAGCCACCCAGGTGCCCCTCAAATAGCTTTAATGGTGGATGTGATAGGTCTGTAGGAGACAGGGAGAAATGTCCAAGCTATGCATATTGTTAAGTAAGAAAGGCAAGTGGAGAGCAGAATATACAGAAGGACACCAATGTAGTTTACACACTTATAGGAAAATGTTGGAAAAATACCTACAACATTATTAAGAGGGGTTGTCTCTGAGATTCGGGACTGGAGCTGAGGGGCGTGATGGAGAGAGGAATTCAGTTTTCATTTGATATCCTTTCCACTGTTTGATTTTTTTCTCCCAACGAGCGTGTGTTTCTTTTGTAGCAAAGCTCTAGTTTAATTATTTAAAACGCTGATGGTAAAGAGCTATTAGAGAAGAAAGATGAAGTTCTAGAAGCTAGAGGTTGCAGAGGAGGCAGGAGCTGGGCTCCCTCAGACGAGGTCTGCCTTGACCCTGGTGGGGGAGGTGGGGCCAGGAGGGTATGTTGGAGCCAGAGCAGGAAATGATGGGCTCTCCTCCTTGACATTAGAGGTGAGGCCATGTGGGGCCTTAATATCAGGATAAGGGGCGGAAGGGCAGAAGGCCGACTATGGGGACCAAGGGAGGGTTTCCGGCAGCATGGAGCCCTTCTGAGGTTGTGGTTCATCTACTGGTCTCTGCCTCACTCCCCTGCTGGGCCATAGCCAGTCTATATCCCACCACATCCCTATGCCAAGCCTTTCATGGGCACAGTACTTGTTTATGGAATGGGGCTCAAGGGTCTGTTGGGGTCTCCCAGACTAAGTGGGGCAGGACATGGTGATGGACCACTTGGATAACCAGAAGGTAGGGGTGACTAGACAACCTGAGGGTGGCTCTCTCTGTGTGAGGATATAGTGGCCTGGCCTGTGCCATCTCAAGCCTAGGAGAATGAGTGTCTGCAGGGAACTGGGTGTGGGAGGGATGGAGGCAGCACTCAACATAGTGACAAGGCAGGGAGGCTGCACATCACAGAATAACGGGGCTCATGGTGATGGAAAGATGGGGAGAGCCAACAGCTGTGGGCATCGGATGAGGAAAGACAGCCAGAGGCTGAGGGACATCTGTCATCCAGGTGACGGCTACAGGTGGGCTTGCAAAGGTGAGACAAGATCTCTTCGATCTGCTCTCTTCCTGGGATGAGACCCAGATGGAGGACAGGCCTGCCAACAGGTCTCCCAAAGAATGGTCCTGCTCCCCCGCCTGAGGGCCTGAGGGGAAACAGACGCACAGAGCCCTTCTCCTTTTTCTCCTGTCCTCCGTGGTGACTTGTCGTGGGGCTGAGGGCTGTAGTGGGGGGAGCCCTCTACTTGAGGGCAGGAGGACTGTGTCTGAGGCAATCATGGCAAGGGGAGGTGCGGTGTGGGCAATGCTGCTATTTCTAACCTGCTAAAGTGAACGGAACCCTGACTAGTTGAAAAGCAAGCTGATTGTCAGGGGTGGAACCCAACTTGGAGCTGTCAGGGCCGTCACATGGAAACCGCCTGGCAGGGGGCGGCGACAGGGGGCTTGGGCTGACAGGGCTGTGATTTTGAAAGAAACGTCTTTAAGAAAGTGATTTAAAGTAGGAGAGAAATATTATTATTAGATAATGGCTGTCAGATTATTTTTTGATGTGTTCTCTGAGTATTTCATAACCATCTCACCCCTAGATGGTAAGGCCTTCCTGGCCAGAGGCCATGTCCCATGCACCTGCTGGTTTCACCTCAGTGCACGGCATCCAACAAGCATCAGGAGGTGTTTGCCGTTTGGCCAGTGGTCACTTGGGTGGAAGGTTTTATAAATATTCCATTTGCCTTTGTTAATAAACCACAAACCAGGATGAGCGCCTGCACCTTTGGTCTGGACACCTGGGTCCCACCAGTCCCCCCAGCACCAGGCATAGGACTGCCCCTGGCGGGAGCAGCAAAACGACAGGGGGGTGGGGCTCACCGGAGACCTGTAACCCTTAGTGGCGAATGGTCACAGGACCCCCCTCATGCTATCAGTCCCGGCCCCTCTACCCAGCCATCTCCTAAGCCCTGTCCTCAGCAGTCGCTCTTGTCTTAATCACAGCCTGCCCCACCCTGCAGGCTCAGCAGAGCCCTCTGATTCTAGTCCACATTTTTTTTTAAAGATTTTATTTATTTATTTGAGAGAGAGAGAGAGAGAGAATAAGAGAGAGAGCATGAGGGGGGGAGGGTCAGAGGGAGAAACAGACTCCCCACCGAGCAGGGAGCCCGATGTGGGACTCGATCCCGGGACTCCAGGATCATGACCTGAGCCAAAGGCAGTCGCCTAACCAACTGAGCCACCCAGGCGCCCCACAAACATTTTTGGAAATCCATTGCCTCTCTTCTGTGCTGACTGCTGAGACTTTAATCTCCACCCTGAGGTCAGCAGCTCTAAAACATCAACCTCTTGACCAGTCACCCTACAGCCCCCCTCCCTGCTCCCCGGCTTTGCCAGGCCTGACCCCGGCACCTCCCTGGTGAAGCCCATACTCAGTGTAGTGTCCGTTCTCCACCAGGCAGGGCCCCCCGCTCCTCCCGGCCCCCGCTCCAGCTTCCCACGAGTGGGCCCTGGTACTAGGTTGCTCTGTGTGCCTCCTTGCCAGATGCCCCCGCCTCCTCTCTACCTGATGGGTGACTACAGGGCGGTTGGAGGGGAATTTTCAACTCAGCAGACCTCATGCAAATCGTTTCCCATCTTTCCTGCCCACTTAGGAAGCTTGATCTGCCCAGCAGGGCTTTTGAAGCTGCCTCCGAAGGGGACTTTGAGCTGCAGGGGTATGCCTTTGAGGCCGCAGAGGAGCAGCTGAGACCACCTCGGACCGTGCGTGTGGGGCTTGTTCAGAACAGAACTCCCCTGCCTGCAGATGCCCCTGTGGCAAAACAGGTGCAGCCTCTTTTGACCGTAAATACATAAACGGAGCAGTTGGCCCGCTCTGTGTTTTGAACACGCCCACAGTCCCCAGGTGGCCACTCACTGCAAATCCATAGGCACCACGAGTGGTCATCTAGATGCTTCTGCCCTGGCCACCCCCCTTCCCTGTAGCCCGCATCTCTCGCTCTTCTTTCTTGTCTGGCTCCTGCCCTCTCTCTGCCTTTTTGCTCCTCAGTTTTTCTCACCTTCCCCTCCACGTCCTCTCCTGCGATTGATCTGAAGTTCCATTTCTCAGTGGGGAGGGTGCCCTTTGTCTGGCTCAAGCTCTCTCTGGAACTCTGCCTCTCAGTCTTTTGCCAGAAGGGTACCTGCTAGCACACGCCGGTCAGGACCTGTCTGTCCATCCGTGATCCTGTGGGTGGGGACTCACCAAACTCAGATGTCTGTCAGCTGATGGTGCCTCAGGGTGGCGGGAATATGATATGCATTTCCTCATGACCTTACGGTTAGTATAAATGTGACAGCATTCTTGTATGTCCCTAAAGAAATATGTTGTCACAGACACAGGCGATTTGTGGTCTACACTTCTTCACAGCATTCCTCCAGCTGCTCAAACTTTTAAGGCTTTCTCTGCAGAGGTTTCCTGGGGATACAGCATGCCTCAGAACTCCTAGGGATTCTCGAGAAAAGGTCAATTGGATTCCAGGTCAGGTTCTGCATCATCTTTCTCTTTGGTCCTTCTGCTTTTGTTGGATTAAAAGATTTCTGGTTCTCAGGTCACTTTTTGTCTCTGGATTAATTGACTGTGAGTATGTTTCCTCAACCGTCCCAGATTGTCGGGGGCAGGGACACTGTCTCACCCCCACGGCACCTAGGAGCACACTCGGCACACTGTCAGCACCTAGCAAATACCCATGGAGCCTTGGTGTGTAGTCTTGAAGGGGAGAGACAGCATCGTGAAGAGTTGTTGCTCTCTGGGTTTTCGGCCTGGTTCTTCGGGTCTTTCTCTGAACAGACGTTCCAAACATTCCTGGGGGCCAGGCATTGTGCTGAGGACACCAAGAAGATGAAGACAACTTTCCTCCTGCCCCTAAGGAGCTCGTGGGGTAATGGAGTGACAGACAGTGGGGAACACAACAGCACAATGGGAACAGCGCCACCATAGGGACCTACCAGGGCATGCTGAGGCACCTCTTGATGCTCAGCCTTTTGCTGGGAGAGTCACTCCTCTGTGGGTGACGCATGACATGAATAACACATCCAGGGAAGATTGGGTGGAGTGGGGAAGTTATATTCCTGAAGGAGGACACACCTGGAAAATGGGATCCATTCATTCAATGATAAGATACACACAGGAAAATGGAAGTGGCAGGACAAGTCATACCGGAAGCCTTGAGTACAGGATGGTAGAAAGTGGACTCTGTCCTGAGGCAAAAGGAGCAGTTAGCCCAGGGGATGGCCAAAGTGTGCACTGGGTGTGGTCCCCTCTTGCAGTAAATAGCAGATAAGCTTATACACTCCTCTGTGCAACCCTTTGGGGCAGATGATGTTCTCCCTATTCTCCAGGTGAAGAAACTGAGGCTCTGAAAGGCAGCATTGAGTGTGTAGGACCCTAGAGCCTCTGCACCTCCACCTTTTATTTATTTGTTTATTTAGAGCTTGCGGGGGAGGGGTAGTGGGCAGAGGAAGAGAATCTCAGGCAGACTCCACTGAGTGCAGAGCCTGACGTGGGGCTGGATCCCACAACTCTGAAATCATGACCAGAGCCAAAACCAAGAGTCAGAAGCTCAACTGACTCTTCCACCCAGGGCACCCCATGCACCTCCACCTTTTACTGCAAATTTTGGACTTTATTCGAGTAGGATGTATCAGAACCTCCCCACCTTCCTCACCCTCTTGCCGCTGCCTAGGTGGGGGGTTGTTCCTCGTCCTTGGGGATGAGTTCTGAAAATAGTCTCAACCAACAGAAGAGAGTAGGTTCTAATCCTTGCTTTTTGAATTGCCAGGTCACTGCGCTTCATAGACGCATAGAATCCATCGTAGAGGTGGCCGCTGTGTGCAGAGTGAACATCATCTGTTTCCAGGAAGCATGGAGTAAGTCTCTCCTGGGGCGCTTTCTCTGCTGCCTTCAGATAATAGTGTATTATCTCCATGTCACCAAGAGAACTACTTGACTTTTTAAAAAATCTCTTCTTCTCTCATCTATAGAAAGATTCTTTTGTCAACGACACCAGAAAGCCAGGAATCCTGGCCTCCACACTCCCCAGTCTGTTGTCTGGTCCTGCCAGTTCTTCTTCCCAAAGGGTCCTGAACCCATTCAGTTGCTCCTACCCACCTTCTCACCACTGCCCTGGCCCGAGGTGCCACCAGCTTACACCTGGCTTCTGTATTTGCTTCCAGCTGGTCTCCCTGCACTCTCCACTTTGGCCCCTTCTAACTGCTCTTCATGCCTTCTAGGAAAGATCTTTACAAAACTCAACTCTGTACTGCTTAGTCTGTTCCTTCCACCTCCTCTGCGGCCTCATCTCGGCTGGGCTCTCCTCTGACCTGGATCCTTCACTGCCCTATGGCACCCTCTCCCTCCTCCCAGGCCACTGCAGCAGCTGCTCCCTCTGGCCTGGCCTTCATCCCCATCGCCCTCCCCTCCCCCTCTCCTTGCCTTTTAGACCCCGTCTAGCCTTCAAATAGAAGCTCAGAGCCCACCTCCCTATCTCAAGGTATGTCCCTGTAACGTACCCCTGGTACCATATACCTTTATTTTCTTTTTATCAAAGTTCTACATGCGTGGTTGGGAGTCAAATGGTCTATAAGGTCTGTTACCAAAAACTAGCTGTCCTTCTCCCCAGAGGCAACCACCTTCTACTCTTGGCTGGTTCTTTGGGAATCTACCTTTGTGTTGCTGCTTCCTGATTGTTCAGTTTCATACCATCTATTAACTTCCCACTGTGGAAGAAGACAGCATTAGTCCCTTGCCTCCTCTGCCCACTCTGTTCACACATACCCTTCTTACCTTCCATCCATTCTCTGCCAAGCCATTTTGTAGACTTAGATTTCTTTTCCTGAATCACTTTCTGTTTTCCCCAGAATTTGCTTTGTTTTCTGTACACCTACCCCAAATTCTACCCCAAACTTATTTCCAGCTTCCTAAATCCTCACAAGTGCTCTTCTTAATCCCCATCAACTATTTCCCCCATACCCCCTACCTGGTTCCATCTCCTTGAAGGAGTAAGTCCCCAGAGCCTTCTGACTGCTCTAGTCTGATTAGTTGCCCCCCCTGCTGGCTGCACAGCTGTCATCCTGGGATTTCCCTTCACCATCATGCTGGGGAGTTCCTTTATCTTGCTCTTGTGTTTCTTCTATCCCCCATCTTCCTCTTTCTTGCTTTTCTCCCTCTTTTTGGTTGCGTAGATTTTATCTTGATAAAATAGATTTTATCTTGATTTGCCATTCAGTCTTTTGTTTCTGCTGTCATATTTTGAATTTATAAGAGTTTTTTTGGTCTGTAAGTTCCTGTTTTATGACATCCTGTTCTTATTTTATAATCGCAGTACTTTCTCTTGTCTCTGAGGATGTTAGGTAGCATTTTTTTTCTCCTTGCACGTTTCCTACTTACTCCAAATTGGTCTTTTTTCCCTAGCTGCTTATATTTTAACGTGTTTAGACGTGTGAAGCTGTCTGTTGGTTCCATCTCCTTTTTTTTCAATTGTAAGTTTTCATTTTAATTCCAGTTAGTTAACATACAGTGTTATGTTCATTTCAGGTGTACAATATAGTGATTCAGCAGTTCCATATATTACCCGGTGCTCATCACAAGTGCTCTTCTTAATCCCCATCAACTATTTCCCCCATACCCCCTACCTGGTTCCATCTCCTTGAAGGAGTAAGTCCCCAGAGCCTTCTAACTGCTCTAGTCTGATTAGTTGCCCCCTCTGCTGGCTGCACAGCTGTCATCCTGGGATTTCCCTTCACCATCATGCTGGGGAGTTCCTTTATCTTGCTCTTGTGTTTCTTCTATCCCCCATCTTCCTCTTTCTTGCTTTTCTCCCTCTTTTTGGTTGAGTAGTTTTCTGAGAAAGAACACATAGGAGGTAACCTTTTTGAGACCTTGCGTATCTGAAAATATGTTCCTCCTACAACTAGCTCGATAGTTTGGTTGGGTATTGAATTCTAGGTTAGAAATAATTTTCCTTCGGAAGTTTGAGCACATTGCTCCACTGTCTCCTGGCTTTGAGTGTTGTTGACTAGTCTAAAGCCCTTTTGACTGATGACCCATTGCATATGATCTGTTTCTTTTTCTCTAGAAGGTTGTAGAATTTGCTCTAATGCTTTGAAGTTTCATAATGATATGCCATTGTGTGTACCTATTTTATTTTTTTCATTAAGTCATCAAATATTTATTAAGCATCTACTATATGCTGGGTGCCACCATAGGTCCTTGAGATAGAGCGGCAAGCCAAAAAGAGAGACACCTCTGCCCTTAGGGTGCTTCTTGTGGGGAGTGGGGAGACAGTACATAATGTGTGTGTATCTATTTTAATCCATTATTCCAGGAACTCATTGGGTTCCTCTAGGCTAGAAATCTGGGTCCTTCAGATCTACTGTTCATTAGTGATTTTCTCCCCTCTTTTTTCTTTCCTCTCTTCCTGATATTCCTACTATTAGGATGTTAGAACCCTGGGCTAGATCCCTAATTTTCTTAAGTATTTCCTCCTATTTTTCATCTTTGTCTTTTTGCTCAGTTTTCTGGTAGATTTTATCTTGATTTGCCATTCAGTCTTTTGTTTCTGCTGTCATATTTTGAATTTACAAGAGTTCTTTTGGTCTGTAAGTTCCTGTTTTATGACATCCTGTTCTTATTTTATAATCGCAGTACTTTCTCTTGTCTCTGAGGATGTTAGGTAGCATTTTTTTTCTCCTTGCACATTTCCTACTTACTCCAAATTGGTCTTTTTTCCCCAGCTGCTTATATTTTAAGAATTGGGGGTTAAAAAGCTGATTGCAAACTCTGAGTTTGTGGGAAGAGTTCCTTCCCACTGAGCTTCATGAGAGGGTGACTTGGTTTAGCTGTTTGTTAGCTATTCCTTCATAGTAGTGTCTTTGGGTCATTCTTTTCAGGCTGGTCAGAGTCCCCAGAGAAGATTCTTCTTACCTCCTGCCAAGAAGAGAAGGAGGATAGGGGTCCAGTATGCCAATGTTTACTGAATGCCTCTGTTTTTGACACTCTACTCGTCTTCATCTGTCCTGGCTTCCCCAAGGCCAGAGGCCTTCTGTTTAAGCACCTCCAGAGAATGAGCCTCTAGCCTTCTGCTGGGGTGGGAGGGACTCATGACAGCCTTGTGCAGTGGAGGAGGGATCTGGGCTTCTGACTGCTTTTTAAGCAGACTTTTGACCAACTTTTGTTTGTTACCCCTCGCTGCTTCCCCACCTTCAGAGCCCAATGGTACCTCTGACTCCTCAACTTTCTAAGGGTGTATGGTGGAGAACAGTATATGGCTTCCTCTACTGCTGGAAGCCTGAATTTTCTGGGTCGATCTATCACAATATCTACCCTCATCCCTTGGCTCTCCAGCCTCCCGTATTCTGTTGCTCTTGTCCTTTTCTCAGTGCTTCATCCTCATGGGTTTGTACCTTTGCATAAAAGTCCCTTTACTGTCATTTGGTGCGGCTACAGAAAAGAGCAAAGGCGTGCATCCAGTCTGCCATCTGTACCCAGAAGTTCATCTCATTTTCCATGTTCCCAGTTACTTATACTTTCACTCATTTGGGCAACACTTTTGATTTGTCTGCCTCTTCCATTAGACCATAAACTCCATGAGGTCATTGTGTGGTGTTAGTTTATTTTTCCCATTCTAATTATCACCCCCCCCTTTTTTTTAAATTTTTTATTGTTATGTTAATCACCATACATTACATCATTAGTTTTAGATGTAGTGTTCCGTGATTCATTGTTTGTGCATCACACCCAGTGCTCCATGCAGAATGTGCCCTCCTCAATACCCATCACCAGGCTAACCCATCCTCCCACCCCCCTCCCCTCTAGAACCCTCAGTTTGTTTTTCAGAGTCCATAGTCTCTCATGGTTCATCTCCCCCTCCGATATCCCCCCCTTCATTCTTCCCCTCCTGCTCGCCTCTTCTTTTTTTTTTTTTTTTAAACATATACTGTATTATTTGCTTCAGAGGTACAGATCTGAGATTCAACAGTCTTGCACAATTCACAGTGCTTACCAGAGCACATACCCTCCCCAGTGTCTATCACCCAGTCACCCCATCCCTCCCACCCCACCCCCCACTCCAGCAACCCTCAGTTTGTTTCCTGAGATTAAGAATTCCTCATATCAGTGAGGTCATATGATACATGTCTTTCTCTTTTTGACTTATTTCACTCAGCATAATACCCTCCAGTTCCATCCATGTCGTTGCAAATGGCAAGATCTCATTCCTTTTGATGGCTGCATAATATTCCATTGTATATCTATACCACCTCTTCTTTATCCATTCATCTGCCGATGGACATCTTGGCTCTTTCCACAGTTTGGCTATTGTGGACATTGCTGCTATAAACATCGGGGTGCACTTACCCCTTCGGATCCCTACATTTGTATCTTTGCACCCCTATTTTTTAACATTAAACATACTTAACTATAATAAAATATATATAACATAATATTCATCACTTTAACCATTGCTAAGTGTACAATTCAGTGACGTTAAATGCGTTCACAAAGTTGTGTAACCATTACCACTATCTATACCCAAAACTTTTTCAACATCTCCAACAAAAACTCTGTACTCATTTAATAATACCCCTCCATCCTGCACCTCTGATAATCTCTGTTCAACTTTCTATCTCTATGAATTTGATTACTCTAGGGACCTCATGTAAGTGGAATCATAGTATTTGTCCTTTTGTGACTGGCTTATTTCACTTTAGAACAATGTTTTCGAGGTCCATCCATGTTGTGCCAAGTGTCAGAATGCCCTTCCTTTTTATGGCTGCATAATATTCCACCATATGGATAGACCACAGTTTGTTTATCCATTCCCCCACCCTTGTTTTATCTTTAAAAAAAAATTATTTATTTGTTAGAGAGAGAGAGCACGAAAGCGCAAGTTGCAGGGAGAGGGTGGAGGGAGAGGAAGAGAGAGAATCTCAAGCAAACACCCTGCTGAGCAGGGAGCCGGACATAGGGTGTGATCCCACAACCCTGAGATCATGACCTGAGCCAAAATCAAGAGCCGGACGCCTGACTGACTGAGGCACTCAGGCTCAGCTTTATCTTTAAATGCTTTATCTTTAATGAACAATCCCTGCTACGTGACAGACAAAATGTTTACGGGATGGTTTCACCAACTTCTTCCTTTTCTTGGATCTGGAAAACTCCCAGTCATCCATCAAGGTCTAGCACAGACACCCCCTTCTTTGGGGGACCCCGGGAATTCCCCTGCATAGAACTGAGCACTCTGTGAAATCGTGCAGCCACACGAGGTTATAATTGAGCTCCCCCCTCATCTAGGCTGGCAGCTCCTGAGGGCAGGGCCAGGTCTAAATTTAGAGCCTGACTAATGGAGTGTTGGTTCAATAAATAAGGAATCCTCTCTCCCCTCTAATCTGAAAGCTTGGAGTTGGACTTTGCAGCCAGCCTCCTGCCAACCTCCATTCCCCATTCCTCTTCGGAAAGTTTGTTTACAGAGGTTGTGTAAACAGGAAAAGAAACCATTAAAATGGAAATGGAGAAATTTGGAGAGCTTAGCAACCTGAAATGAAGTCAGAAAGGGAGGTTTTATTCTCTTGGGGTATTTGAGTCTCTCGTAATGTGCTGAAAGCGGAGAATAAATGGTCATTAAGGATCTTTTTTGTCATTAACAGCTTTTTCCGTTGGCTTCCTTAAAATAGTCTCTCCCTCTTTCCTGAAGGTAGGCCTGGGGAGTCTTGAGCCTGAGGCCAAGGCCCCTGGGGCTGTTACTGGCAGGGCCTAGGTGGCCAAGATGGTAGTGGTGCCATTGGTAACCTCTTCACGCTGGCCGTATCTTAGGACCAGCAATCCTACAACTGAAAGGAATTGGGAGACTGATGCTTCTTTTCTCTTCCTTCTCTGTGAAATGAGGAGAGTCTTCCCTACTTCACAAGGATATGGGGACCAGCTGCCTATTACTGGGCCCATGGCCCACGTTTGGGAAAGGTTGACTACAATTAGTAACCCCAAACAGGCCACCCGCCCCATGCCGTGACCACGTGAGGCACTTGCCATGCACGTCACGCTGCTTCCTGAATACCATCCCTGCAGGTTAGTCAGTTCAGAGCGACGTGAACCATAGCAAGCATCTGGAAACTTCCATTAGGCTAAGCTGCCTGAAAGAAAATGGACTTGGGTTATTGGAAGGAGGAAGGTCTAAAGAGTATACAGAATTGGTCCAAACAAAGAATTCAGTCATCCAAAGCAAGAAGAAAAAGACAAACAGCCTGGTAGGAAACGGGCAGAGTTAGGAACAAGACTGCCTAGAGGATGAACCCAGAAAGGCCAGTGACCATGTGGCAAGGTGCTCCACCCATAGGTGAGGGAAATGCATATTTAATCATGGAGCTTTACTAGCTCACACCATCAGACTGGCTGACACTAGAGTGTATGGGAGCGGTGGAACACACGTAGCCAAAAATCCCTGTACCCACCCCCATTGCAGCCCCCACTCTCCCCGACAAAGGCAAGCATCATTTTGAACCCAGTATGTGTAGTATTCTGTGAATTGTTACTCCATATGTAGGTACCTGCTGTTTGAAAAATAAAAAGCAAACAAAAATCAGTTTATGAATTTAATGAAATTTCTTATTTAATTAGCCCCCTGATGGCATCTAGCCAGAGAACATGGGAATAATGCATTTATCCTTGGGGAACATTCAGTCCGTCATCCAGCGGTTCCCTGACTTCTTATGGGAGTTCATTAAGTGAGTGGCTTTTCTTGTTCCTGAACAAGCCTCTCTATCCCCGTGAGGAGGAACATTTCTGTGGTGATGTGCCCAGGGTCCCCGGTGCCATCCTCAGTGGCCCTCTGACACTTTCCCCAGGGAGTCTTGGCTATGCTTATACCAACCCGCAGATTGGCCAGCAGTTTGGGATCCAGAGTAAAATATACATAAGATCAACTTTACCACTTTAGTCATTTTTATACAGATCAGTGGCATTAAGCACATTCACACTGTTGTGCAACCATCACCATCATTCATCTCCAGAATTTTTTCCTCTTCCCAAACTGAAACTCTGTCCTCCCCCATCCAGCCCCTGGCAACCACCATTCTAATTTCTGTCCCTATGAATCTGGCTATCCTAAGTACCCCCATCTAAGTGGAATCCTATAGCATTTGTCCTTTTATGACTGATGTATCACTTAGCATAATGTCTTTGAGCCTCACCCATATTATAGCATGTGTCAGAAGTTCCTGCTTTTTGGGGCGCCTGGGTGGCTCAGTTGGTTAAGCGACTGCCTTCAGCTCAGGTCATGATCCTGGAGTCCCAGGATCAAGTCCCGCATCGGGCTCCCTGCTCAGCAAGGAACCTGCTTCTCCCTCTAACCCTCCCCTCTCTCATGTACTCTCTCTCTCTCATTCTTGCTCTCTCAAATAAATAAATAAATCTTTAAAAAAAAAAAAAAAAGAAGTTCCTGCTTTTTAAGGCTGAATAACATTCCATTGTATGGATGCATACCACATTTGGTTTATCCATTCATCCATCAGTGGACACTTGGGTTACTTCCATCTTTCAGCTGTTGTGAATAGTGCTTCTATGAAATGATTATGCAGATATCTATTCAAGTCCCTGAATTGTTTTTTCCCTAAATTCAATTGTTTTTAAGACTGCAGTAAAGAGGGTGCCTGGGTGGCTCAGATGGTTGAGCGTCTGCCTTTGGCTCAGGTCATGGGGTCCTGGAATCGAGTCCCACATCGGGCTCTCTGCTCCTGGGGAGTCTGCCTCTCTCTCTCTCTGTCTCTCATGAATAAATAAATTAAAAAAATAAATCTTAAAAAAAAAAGACTGCAGTAAAGAAATTTGGCCCAGCCCTTTGTTTTGCTATGAAGCCTAGAAGGTTAGGGTCTGCCTGGTGCTCACATTCGGGGACACAGGACCCAGAAACCAGGCTGAGACCCTCGGGAGACTTGTTATCTTGTGCAGGCCCTCAACAGCTGGGCTGAGGAGCGCCCCCTCCGAGGTCATGAGTGTTGGATATGATTCTGACTTTCTCCTCTTCACAGCTATGCCCTTTGCCTTCTGTACGAGAGAGAAGCTTCCTTGGACGGAATTTGCTGAGTCAGCAGAGGACGGACCCACCAGCAGATTCTGTCAGAAGGTACAGACTGGATGTGGCCCTTCACCATGGAAAATGCACCCATTTGGTGCTTGTTTTGCCAAATGAGATTAGATAAGACTATTTGCTGCCCTTTTTTTTAGTGTACTTTAACTTGAAATCATAGACTTTCAGAGCTAAAAGGGCCCTTAATGGCTTTTTCAGGTGAGGGAGCTGCAGCCCAGGGAGGGGTGACCTCCCACGGCAGGTTCTGCCATTGGCAAGTGGCAGAGGTGGCCTTCGGGGACCAGGGATGAGGTTGATTCCTTGTCCGGACCTCTGCTGCTGCCCAAGTTGTTTGCCTGCATTATGTAAGCTTCTCTGTGTGGCTTGTCTCATCAGTACCGAGATCAGTCTTCATTTTTCTTTGTTAAAACCTTATAATGTTGTTTGACCCCACTGATATGAAATGTCCAGAGTAGGAAAATGAATAGAGGCAGAAAGACATGGTTGCTGGGCAGAGAGAGGGATGGGGAGTGACTGCTAATGGGTATGGGGTTTCCATTTGGGGGTAATGAAAATGTTCTAAAATCAGATTGTGGTGATGGTTGCACAACTCTGTGGATGTACTAAAAGCCACCCAGAGCACACTTTTTTTCCCCCCTCGCCCATCAGCAGTGACCCGAACAGCACACTTTAAAAGGATGAATTTTGTACCATGTGCATTATATCCTAATAAAGCAGTTCTCGGGGCACCTGGGTGGCTCAGTCGTTAAGCGTTTGCCTTCGGCTTGGGTCATGATCCCAGGGTGCTGGGATCGAGCCCCTCACCGGGCTCCCTGCTCAGCGGGAAGCCTGCTTCTCCCTCTCCCACTCCCCCTGCTTGTGTTCCCTCTCTCGCTGTGTCTCTCACTGTCAAACAAATAAAATCTTTAAAAAAAAAAAAAAAAAAGCAGTTCTCTCTCTCTCTCTCTCACACACACACACACAAACCCAACCCATAACAACAAAGAGGTTACGAATGATGACTTATCCTTATTCTTAACAAAGCACTTTTTTCACTTCTCCATGTCCCATTTCAGATTTTATAAGTATTTTTAGGGGATTTTTTTGAGCAGAACTGTAATCATAGTGATTCTATCAAAACTGAGCCGCAATTCCAAACATCAGCGTTCTCATGCTATCAGAAAAAAATCTGTCATCTGCCAGGTTGTTGATTCTGTGCTGTGGATAAAAGAGAGGGGACTGATTAAGTGGTGACTGTAGACGACACACTTGAACCAGGGCCAGAAGAAGAGGAAAGGGGGAGTAGGGGATGAGAACTGTTACCAGAGGACACCTGTCTGCATCGAGAGGGGCCCAGGACCCATGGATGCCCTTACATGACTTGGAACATCACCTTCTGCCCTTTGTGCCTTTCTCCATCCCTAAGGCCAGAGGCGGTGACAGGCTAGTTAGAGTTGAGGACAAATGACCATCTGGGGCTGCTTATCCTGATGGTCACCAGGTCCTTAATGTTCTTATTTGAGACAAAAGGAATTCAGCATCAAAGAGTTTGGTTTGGCTTGGTTGGTATGGTGAAAAGTATGAGGAATATTCTTTTTTTTTTTTTATTGTGGTAAACAGCACATAAAATTTACCATCTCAGCCATTTCTAAGTGTATCGTTCAGGGGTGCTAAGTACATTCACATTGTTATGAAACAGATCTCCAGAACTTTTTCATCTTGTAAATCTGAGACTCTGTACCCATTAAACAACTCTCCATTCACCCCCAGCTACTGGCAGCCAATATCCTACCTCCTGTTTCTATGAATTTGACTACTTTAGAATACCTCACGTAAGTGGACTCATTTAGTATTTGTCTTTTTGTGACCAGCTTGTTTCATGTAGCATAATGTCTCCAAGGCTCATGGTGTCATGTGAATCACATGTCATCCATGTGATGACAGGATTTCCTTCCTTTTTAAGGCTGAATAACATCCATTGTATGGATATACCATATTTTTAAAAGATTTTATTTTTATTTTTTTTTAAGATTTTTTTTAAGTAATCTCTGCAGCCAATGTGGGGCTCAGACTCACAACCCCAAGATCAAGAGTCACATGCTCTGCCAACTGAGCCAATCAGACACACCAAATGTACCACATTTTATTTATTCATTTATCCCTCAGTGGATTTTTGGGTTGCTTCTACTTCTTGGCTCTTATGAAGAGTACTGCGATGATCATTGGTGTACAAATATCTCTTCAAGATACTCTTTCAGATATATACCCAGAAGTGGGACTTCTAGATCATATGGTAGTTCTATTTTTAATTTTTTTGAGAAACTGCCATACTATTTTCCACAGCCGCTGCACCATTTTACATTTCCACCGACAGGACACAAGGACAACAGTTATTCTTACTTAGCTCAGCTTGGGCATCAGGATAATGCTGGCATTCAGCCTTCCAAAGAACAAATACAAATGATAGATAGCTCTAAACCAAGTCAAATTATTTAGTAGGATCATTTAATTATTCAATAAAAAAAAAACAACTCTGACGGTTGATTTAAAAGTATGACTCTGCTACATTCCTCATCTTTCCAGCTGGCAAAGAAGCATGACATGGTGGTGGTATCTCCTATCCTGGAACGAGACAGAGAGCACGGGGACGTTCTGTGGAACACAGCCGTGGTGATCTCCAATTCCGGAGCAGTCCTGGGAAAGACCAGGAAAAACCACATCCCCAGAGTGGGCGACTTCAACGAGGTGAGCCGGCCCTACAAAAACCCGCTCAGCTTACTGGCCCTTCGGTCCACACCTGCCTGTGGATCTTTCCACGAGGGAAATCCTGTGTTGGATCATGTCCCGTCACACAACACTGGAACACAGTATGGCTGTAGTGATCACATGGAGAGATGAGATTTGAATGGGACTCCTGGGTGAGTCCCAAACACCAAGCACAGAGGGATATTTCTTTTTTTAAAATTTTTTAAATACAATTTTATATAAAATTATTATATAAAAATAAATTTTTAATTTTTAATTTATTTATTTATCAGAGAGAGAGAGACAGAGGCAGGCAGAGGGAGAAGCAGGCTCCCCACTGAGCAAGGAGCCGGATGTGGGACTCAATCCCAGGACCCTGGGATCACGACCCAAGGCAAAGGCAGACGCTCAACCGACTGAGCCACTCAGGCGTCCCTAAATTTTTAATTTTAAAAAATTTTTTATTATTTTATTATTTTTTTTAAACATTTTATTTATTCATTTGAGAGAGAAGGGGAGAGGCAGGAAAGGGAGAAGCAGACTCCCCACTGAGCCAGGAGCCTAACGCAGGGCTTGATCCCAGGACCTGGGGATCATGACCTGAGCCGAAGGCAGACACTTAACCAACTGAGCCACCCAGGCACCCCTAAGATTTTATTTATTTATTTGAGAGAGAGTGAGAGAGAGCAAGAGAGAGAGCGTGAGCAGGGGGAGGGGCAGAGGCAGAGGGAGAAGTAGACTCCCTGCTGAGCAGGGAGCCCAATGCGGGACTCTGTCTCAGGACACTGGGATCATGACCTGGGCTGAAGGCACTGAGCCACCCAGGTGCCCCTGGGTATTTCTTTTTTTAATATAACCTGACTTGGCTTTCTTAAATTCATCTCTGAGGTAAGTGGTATATAGATTAAAACCAAAATAAATAAAATAAATAGTGCACAAATGTGAAATGATTCCTGCAGCCCCTTTCGGGCTCTGAGCTCCTCACCTGTCACAGTCTAGCCCTCGTTTGGGAAGTGGGAGTCCTTGTTCATAAGTCACGTGAGCTCTTAGCCACGTCGATGTGTTGGGATGGCAGGAGGTAAATGCGTGTATCTGTGCACATGGGCATTAGGTAAAGCTTTGTGCCCGTGATCAAGGTATAAGTGAGGAGAGCTATTATGATTAGTTAATGCCAATGCATGGGTGGATTGGGTGAAGAGGGGTGGACTCTACCTAATACCTAAGATATGAAACCTGAACTTGACCTACAATAAATACAGTTGTTCAGAATGTGATATACCCAGTCCTTTGCTGCCCTCCCTGATTGTGGGTGTTCCAACCACACTCCCAGGATGGTCAGAAGGACAAGGATGGACCTACAGAGCTAGATGGCGTTCCCTAGGGATAAAAAAAACCCTGGTGTCTCTCAGTGACAGCTGGAGGTGGGGTGGGAAGATGTGCTCATCACCTGTTTACCCTGGGATTAATCTTTAGCTCCCAGCAGATGGTGAAGGGCTTGTCTCAACACACCAGGATCTACTCCATTGTCCACCACATGTACACATCCTGGTTGCTGCCTGACCCTAACACATTTTGAAATTAATGGGAAGAGGCAAAACGTTCTGGGAGCAGATCTGTTTGGGACCCCAACTAGCCCTCTAGCCCCTCCACAGTGCCAGCCATGAAAATGCCCCAAGGGGGCAGGCAGAGAGGCAGACATGGCAGGACGTCCCTAGTCCCGGGCAGGATGCCCAGGGAGCTCTGTGGAGGAGAGTACTTTCAGGGTGTGAGCTCTAGTCTCAGATTGGCCTTCATCAGCTGGACAAGTCGCATGGCCACTGAGGCCGTGGTGTTCTCCCCCAATAGGCGGGGATTGCTCTGTATGAGTTTCCAGTCCCTTCAGCACTGACATTCTTCATAGGAACATGTGGTTGGTGAAGACATTGACTAACTCATGTTAACATTGACCAAACCTTGACCATTCGTTGTACCATGACTGAAACCTAACCAAAGTTTGTCCTTAAAATACTGTGGGAAGTTGCTTCGGGGATTTTTTGGACGTGCCACAAAAGAAATTGTGGGGAAAAAATTAACCATGGTGATTTCCCAGTTATTCTGTCTGGTTTCTTTGGTTTCTCTCTCTCTCTCTCTCTCTCTCTTTTTTTTTTTTTTTAGCAGATTGAAATTTGGGAACTTAGAGTCACAGCCAAGATTGTTACTTTTGGAGTCCTGGCAATATTTTCTTTTTTTCTGTCAGGTCTAAAGAAAGAGAAATTGTACAGATCAGAGGCTTTCATACATGGCCCTTTGTTTTTCAGTCAACTTACTACATGGAGGGAAACCTCGGACACCCCGTGTTCCAGACTCAGTTCGGGAGGATTGCGGTGAACATCTGCTATGGGCGGCACCATCCTCTCAACTGGCTCATGTACAGCATCAACGGGGCTGAGATCATCTTCAACCCCTCAGCCACCATTGGAGCACTCAGGTCTCTCAGCAAGTAGGATCTGGGAGGGTTCTTGGGACCTAGCTCTCTTCGGCTCATGGCCAAGCAGCAGGGTTCAGAGGTGGGTTTGGTAAACTGTAGCAGGCAAGTGAGGCCACCAGGTTGTCTAACAAATCTGAGCCATGGGATTGCGTGTTGTATATTTCAGAACTGTGAAAAAAAAAAAATACTCAACATCAATTAAGATCCCCCCCCCCCCCCGCTGAGAACTGCTTTGCTGTAAAATACTATTCCTTTGCTATTATTCTGAACACTGAGAGGATAACAGTCCCCCTCCACTCACGCCATAATTGTCAGGCTTCCAAAAAGTTCCTCTTCTAAAGTGCCCAAAGCATAGTAGGTGCCTGGCCAGAATTAGCCGCCTTCCCTGTCACGGCCACTGTGCTCCCTCACAGAGGGACCACGGATTCCTAAGCCTCTTGTCTGCGACATCCAGCACGTGGAGGGCAGACACCTGGACGAGGGAACAAGCCAATGAGAGAATCAAAGCCGAGAGGGTCCTTAAGAGATCAGCCAAGTGGCTCTGAAATTTGTTTTTAACCAGCAAAGTGTTTTCTTCTAACACCTAACACGAGTTTCGGTGTTAGCCTCATCCTGAAACAGATAAATCTATCCTGATGAGGGCAGTGGGGGGGCGGGCCCTGGCAGTTCCTGGGCCCCTGCACAAGACCCCTGGGGCCCTTCATTTAATAATGGTGGGTGAGCTAAGATGACCCAGCATGACTGCACTTCCGCTGCTTCTCTCTTCCCCAATGGCTGAGTATTTGGGTGGTTTCCAGTTTTGCATCATTAACAAGTACCAGAACTCTAGGAATTATGTGCAAATATCTTTCTCCCCAACTCACTTCCTCCAAAGCAGGATTCCTGAATGAGGAGGTGCTGGCTTTCACTCTCGTTGTCCTGGTTGCCAATGCCCTAGCAGTGGGACGCTGGTGGTGGGGAGGGCCCCGATCCCTCGGTGGGGAGCAGCTGGGACAGTTCTGGTGGGCAACTTTGAGTTCCCTGCCAGCCTACCCCTGTCACTCTTCTCTCTTGACTAAATTGCAGTCTAATTTCTTCTGAAGGTCAGAATGTGACATTTACTTTACCTTTTCTTCTAAGCACTGTGCCCCCTTCTCAAGAGCGACATCCCCACAGCATTCTGATTTGCACAGCAGGTCCCTCAATGAGCCAGAACGCAAACCTAGTGGGCTACCTCAGGTCAGCTGCCCCCTCCGTGCACCCGAAGTTTCTGTCTGTGTCCCGGAGGGGTGCTGTTGGGCAGAAGGGGAAAAAACTCGTCTTCGACATCCCCTGAAGAATCTCCCTGGGGCCTCATGGCACCTTGGTTACTATGACAGAATCCAAAGGCAGTTGTGACGTAGGGTAATTAGTGGTCATCCAGCATCCGGACCTGGGCAGAACCTCTGGGCCAGGCCCCTGGAGCAACCTCCTCCTGCCAGCCATGTGTAAGGCATTCAGCAAGCGCCATCTACCTGCAGGGGTCCCTCGAGGAACCTGAAGCCAATGCGCTGAGCATCTCTGCCTGAACTGGCTCTTGGGCCAAGGCAGGCAAAGCTGAGGACTCAGGCTCAGACGGCCGCATCCCTGACCTTATTCTGTCGGGCTTTTATTAGCCCCAATTAAGCACACAGAAGCACCCCAATGTAATATGCACATAACTGCTTGCGTCTTCAGCAGCCTATTAGGCTTATTAAAAATTATTGATTTTCCTTTCTCGACCAACAATCATCCAACTCGTGCCTTTCAAGGGTATGATGAGGCTGTCAGTTAAAACGGTAACAGGTCCTTTGGAAAGTGGTATGTTTCATGAGCTCCCAAAATGTTCACACCCTTTGACCGGATAATTATACTCCTAAAACTTTACCTGACAGAGTGTCTAAAAGAGGAGGAAAAGGCTGTATGCATGAAGATGTTTCTGGCAGCTTTATTTATAATAATAAAAGAGCTAGAGGTGAGAGAAATGTCAGGGTTAGGTAAATTTCAGCCCATCTCTTCCATGTTAGTGCACAGCCACTCAAAAGTCATTCTGAAGATAATGCAGTCTCATGACAAGAGCCTGTGAGCAAAGAAAGATGTTTCCAGGCTGCGGTCAGAGCTCTGTAAACATTTCTTGCCAAGGATAGATGTGGAGTGTAGAAAAATTACAACAGATGGTTTATTAGGATGGTGGGATTCTGGGTGGTTTTCTTAAAATGATAAATGATTATTTATGGAATTGATGGTGAATGTTTTTCAGCACAAGGTCAGGCAAATCCCCACCAGCTGCACATAAACAATGGCTTCTGGAACCATCCATCCCTTCTCCGGCATGTCCTGTCCCCCCGACTCCCACATGCTCTGTGGGTTGGTGGGGTGTTCTCACTCATTTTGGGGGTCCCACAGTTCTAAGCACACAATAGAATTGAAGTGTGTTTTCATGAACAGAGTCGTCCTGATGGCGCCATGCAGCCCATGTGGTCTAAGATTTCGGCCACATATGTGTGTGAATAGGAGAGTCGTGCCTTCATCCCTTCAGTGCATGTCTTCTTCCCACCATGATTATTTTTAGGGGCTAGTGTAGCCACACTGGGAATAAGGCAGATGTCCCCATGCCCCCAGTGGGCTCTCCATGATTCCCGCACACGCTGGGCTCTCATGAACCTCCAGCTTCCTCTCCCTTGCTTGTTTGGAGAGCCTAAGTTTTATTGCCAGCTGTGGGTTTGAGTCCTACGCAACGTACCCTCCCAGGAGAATTGCAAGAAAGATGTTTTATGGCACTCACCCTGCAACTGTCTATTTAATTCCTGAAAATGTCATTTTACGGGTGTGTTTCTATAAAAAGCCTTTCTTAAAAGTTTTGTCAGCTTGGCTTAGCAGCTGGGGGAAAAAAAGCAGCAAATGAGTCCCCTCAATCAAGCCTGTGATTTTTTTTTTTCCAGACTCGTGAATCCTCCTGAGAATTAGGCTTGTCAAGCACCCACTCCCTCCACCTACTCCCGGTTTAAACCAGGTGCACACTGACAGGAAGAAAGATTCCAGGGCATTTTGCTCCCAGTCACTTAGTGTTTCTAAGTGGGCATTACACCTGTCAATCCAGAATCCTAATGATGTTGTTCCTCAGACAAGAGATAATTAGTGACAAAAAGGCCCACTGGACTCCATGGCATATTGTAGTTGGTGGGCCGGAGAAGGGCGGGGTCTTCAGTTGGGACATCACTTCTCATCCTATCCTACCTTTGTGGGCGCCGAACTGAGGAAGGCCCACAGCTCAGCTGTGCCCTTGTGGTGCCTCCTTTCTGGGCCAGTAAGAGGGCCAAGGAGCCTCTGCTTAGAGTCTCGGGATTCAGGAGAGGAAAATAGGAAAGCACTGGGAGATGGGGACCGGCTCAGGGGAGATGACATCTGCTACAGAATCTACTACCCTTTCCGGTTACCTAAATTCCTTTCAGGTTTCCTGTTTGCTCTGGGGACTGCTTTGCAAGGCAACAGAGCAGGATAGGGATTAGGGCAGCAGTTGGAGCCCACAGAGGGCTGTGCATGAGCCCTTAGGCCCCCAGCTCCCTTCTGACATTTGCCAGGTGAGGCCCTGACCAGCCCGGAAGGTGAGTTCCTCACCCAACCCAGGAGGAGGGAAGGAGAGAGAATGAGCAGTTACGGAGTTTCTGCCATGCAGCCCCCTCTAGAAGCTTCACCGGTGTGGTCAGTCCTGACAATATCCCTTTCAGGAAGTTTCAGAAAAGAAAACTGCGGCTCAGGGCTGCTTTGGCCTGCAGCAGACCTGCCCCAAAAGGCTGCTTGGGCTTGAGCACGGGACAAGCTGGCCTGCCCATGGGTTTGGGGACACCTGCAGCCACACCAGTCTCCCTGGCCATCCCCGCTGCAGAGCTGAGAAGGCTGGCAGCCTGGCTGTAGCTCGGGAGCGAGCACCCAGCCCGTCTGGCTGGGAAGTCAGCCACCTGGTTCCTCTCGCTTCTCCCTCACAGTGAGTCCCTGTGGCCAGTAGAGGCCAGAAATGCGGCCATTGCAAATCACTGCTTCACCTGTGCCATCAACCGAGTGGGCAAGGTAAGTCCCCGCGGTCTGGCTGGGCTCCCGGGCTTGGTCAACCAGGTGTGCTGGGGAGGGGACAGAGCTGCTAGGAAAGCTGCCTGCCTAGAGGGGGCCTGGCCTCTTCAACCAGCAAAGGCCACAAGGGAAGCAATTGTCCGCTGGCCCCGGTGGGGACACCACACACCTCTTGTCCTTGTCCCTGTGTGCGTGCCACAAATTCTAGGATCCCGGAAGAGGGGAGACTGGCTTGGTTTGTTCCTTTTAAAGGTATTACTATGTCTCTCTTCTGTTTTTGTCTATTTGGGTTTGTAGCTGAAACTGTTTTGGAAGGCTCTCACCCTGTCCCACCAAGTCTCCTGTTTCATATTTTTTTTAATTTTTTAAAAAGATTTTATTTATTTATTAGAGAGCGAGAGAGGGAACACAAACAGGGGGAGTGGGAGAGGGAGAAGCAGGCTTTCCGCAGAGCAGGTAGCCCGATGCGGGGCTTGATCCCAGGACTCCGGGATCATGACCTGAGCCGAAGGCACACGCTTAACCAACTGAGCCACTCAGGTGCCCCTCCTGTTTCATATTTTTCCCCATTGACCCATGCACTGAGTGAACTTGACTACAAAACACAATGCGTTCGTTACGTAATAATCCTCTTCCTCATTCTTAATTAATCGGATGTCAAACTCTGATCAGAGCATCTGCTCAGGCTGGGATAATCAAGGTATCTACAGTAAGTCAGTCCAATTTCTGGCAATATGAAGAAACTCAGTGTTTTCATTAGCCTGTGTAACCCCATCATGGCTTGAGGTACTGTTTCCATTAGGCTTTGGGGGAAGTTCTGACAGCAGTGTGTGAGCACCCCTTAGTCCCCTCAGAGACCCCAAGCTGGGGCTTTATTTCCCAGGCAGACAAACCTCAGCCGCCTTCCACAGGCCTGAGAACCGCTCTGCTCAACGTCTTTTTTTTTTTTTTTTCCCTCCCAGCAGATTATAAACTCCGCAGAGACAAAGTCGGGGTTTTTACCTTGCCTGTCAAATTGCCTGCTGGCCGCCTGTGTTGGCCCAGTGCTGGCGACTCAGCGGGGACATTTCATAAGTACTTGTTGATCGCCCGGCGAGTACAGGCCATTCCTTCTCTGCCTGTAACTTGCTCCCCTGAGGCCCCCTCAGCCGGACTTTGCGGTGGGACATGCTGGTAGTGCCGCCTATGGGTTTGCCTCACCTCGGTTTTGTTTCACAGGAGTGCTTCCCGAACGAGTTTACCTCTGGAGATGGGAAGAAAGGTATGTTCCAGGAATTTCTGTGGTTGGCTGCAGCTGAGGCGTGGGCCTCACTGTCCCCTTCTCTGTCTGCCCCCTCCGGGCAGGGTCTACCCCACAGACTGTGGTCTGCACACGTGACCCATCGTCGGAGGGGTGCTCTCCTCTCGTCTTCGTGGCCCACAGTGTGGGAGCCTGACTGTGGCTGGGTCCTGGGCTTGTGACTACCTCATTCCCCAATTGGGGATTGAATGGTATTGGGTTGGACTCCATCCCTCCCCTGGGACTGGTAAGGAGATGGGCCTAGAAGACATGGAAGAGCCTTTTGTGGGCTCCCTTGAAAGAGGGGGTGCTTTATCCACCCTACACATCTCCTTCCCTCTCTTCCTTTGTCCTTCTCACCTGCCACCACACCCCATCCCAAGCTGCACAAATGTCCCAGAACATCAGCATAGACTGCCTTGGGTTCCTCGGACCGCAGCTTGTTTTGATCTGAGGGCAGACACCACCTCACCTCTGGTAGGAATCCCCCACCCACTGGTCCCACCTCTCTGGCTAAGAATGTGGAAGGCAAGGGCCCACCAAGGAGGTCTCAGAACTAGCTTAGGGGATCCCCTGGAAAAGGCAGAGAGGACTGAGCAGGTCTGTTTTCCCAGAAAAGCACTTCCTAAAAGGGTTCCAGATCCCCTCACTTGAGGTCCAGAGTGTCCAATCCCAGTTAGCTCCCTGCAGAGAGAGGTGCAGTGAGGCAGGGAAATGAGGTCCACTGGGTGCTTTCTGTGCCCAAGCCCCTGCTAGGCCCTGCACTGTGCCCACCTGCTCCTTACATCGTAGCTGTTAGCACCACCTGACTTGTGAGGGGACCGAGGCACGGAGGGAAGGGACGGCAGATGCAGCTGGGAAGGCAAGTGAGGGCAGAGCCTCTAGCTCACCGTGTTGGGCCACCATAGGAAGCAGATCACACAGGAAGCCCTGCAGAACTATAGGACTCCCTTGGGCTGTGGGTGGCTAACGTTGGGAGTAAGGGCTAATACTTCTACAAGGATGACCTTTAAGAATGTTCCGGGGCTGGGGCACCTGGGTGGCTCAGTTGGTTGGGCAACTGCCTTCAGCTCAGGTCATGATCCTGGAGTCCCGGGATCGAGTCCCGCATCGGACTCCCTGCTCAGCGGGGAGTCTGCTTCTCCCTCTGATCCTCCCCCTCTCATGCTCTCTGTCTCCCATTCTCTCTCTCAGATAAATAAATTAAAAAAAATCTTTAAAAAAAAAGAATGTTCCGGGGCAGAGGTGAGGGCTGTGAGGGTGACTTTTGTAGGAACTTGCTCAGCCTCAGGCCTGAGGAGGGAGGCAGGTTGTTTGAGGAGGTGGCACGGGGATGCCGGGGAGGGTGGGGAGGGTGGCACGGACACTTTGTCCTGGGTGTCGCTCGATATGCCTACCTCTCTGCCTGCACAAGCTCCCGGATGCTCTCTTTTGCTCCTCCAAAGCTCACCAGGACTTTGGCTACTTTTACGGCTCGAGCTACGTGGCAGCCCCGGATAGCAGCCGCACTCCCGGGCTCTCCCGCACCCGGGACGGGCTGCTGGTTGCTGAGCTCGACCTGAACCTCTGCCGGCAGGTGAATGACATCTGGAACTTCAAGGTGGGTCCCTGAGTCCACTGCTGTTGCCCCGCTCCTCTGTTTGGACCCCTATACTGCTCGCCGAGCTGGAAACCACAGCTGCTGGGGTTGCTCTCAGGAGCGGCCAGATGAGGCTCCAAGCCGAGCAGAGGACCCGGTCTTTTCCTCCCAGAGCTGGTGTGCGAGGGAGGAGCCACTGGGTCAAATGATGCCCAAGCAGCAGACCTTAATAAATTCTCCTCTTGTCTGATTTAGATTCTGGGCGCCTTCAAACAAATTAATCTCAATTTCATTTGAACGGAGAATAGAGTGGATCGGCTTCTCTAATCCTTTTTTTCCTTTCCAGGCATTTGCACTTATCACAAGATAAATGTGGGTGTCTGGCTCTGCCTGTGGCCTGGCCCCATGGTCTAGGCCTTGACAGTAGAGGGAAATGGGTCACACATAGAAATGGAATCTAGGCCCGTCTCTGCCACGGCCTTTCTCAGTCACCCTAAGCAAGCCCTTTCTGCTCCCAGGCCTTAGTATGCCTGTTTGTAAAACTGGAAGGTCTCAAGTGGCCTTTGAGACCTAACACATGTGACACCAGGGGTCCTGGGAGGAGCGGAAGTGCCCACCCTCCTGGAATGGGGTGGTGGCAGCCATTGGCCCCCTGGAATATGCCCTCTTATCCTGGATGCAGATGGAGTTTGCTGCATTCGTGTCCAGCAGTATTTCTACCAACTCAGAACCCACTTATACTTGCAAATGAATGTCCTCATGATTGCATGACTTTGCCCAGCGTGTCCTGGAGGAATCACCTCCCCCGTTTACCTGAGCATGGGTCTTTGGGCATGTTCCCTGAGTCTCAGATCCTCATCAGACAAATAAGGCATTGCACACGAACGTCTCCTGGCTTGGCTCTCCTCTTCCTGGGAAGCTGAGATTAATGCAAGATTCCACACAATAAACAGAATGTTTTCTCATCGGTAACTTTTTGAATGCAAAAGCCCCACCCCGCCCCAAACTATGGTGGTGGGCCTGAGCTCCTGTCGGGGTTTTGGGAAGGAGGGAGGGAATGCCTGGGTGTGAGCACCTTGGGTAGGTTTGCCAGCCCTGCCCCCACTCTCCCCCAGACCCAGAACCAGGAGTCCAGGGTGCAAATCCCAGCAAATTCCACTGCTGCCTGGAGACCTGGAGCAGGTCACTCCCCTCTCTGGGCTGTAGGCTGTTCTTCTGGGGTTCTGCAAGACCTCAGGACAGCCTTCTTCCCTTCTACCTCGGGGCAGGCCACACCTTCTGGAAGGACAGGTCACAGAGGTCTTCCAGCAAGACGGGCCAGTGTGTGTGAGTCATCTCAGCATCTGTGATCTTTGCTATAGCGCTAGAATCAGTACCCAATGGCCACACAGGGGTTGTTCCTCTACGTTATAGTCTGAAACTGTCCTGTCCTCCCGCTGGCCTTCCTGACAAATTTCTGTCCCATGGCTGCCCTCTAGTGGCAAGAGGTGGTGGTGAGTAAACCGGAATCTGCCTGTGTTTTGCTTTCAGATGACCGGCAGATATGAGATGTACGCTCAGGAGCTCGCTGAAGTCGTCAAACCCAACTACAGCCCCAATGTTGTGAAAGAGTAGCTGGATTTTAGCCCCTGCCCGCCAAGGAGGGCACCTCTGCAAGTACATCAGGCTTTACAAAAGCCCAAGTTCCCCCTGATGATGTCCTGATAACACGGTTGGTTTAAAAATGTTCCAGGTGGGGAGGGTAGATTGAAGAGTAACTGCAGTGGGTATGAGGTTTCCTTCCTGGCTGATGAAATGTTTTGGGCCTACACAGAAGTGATGGTTACACAACACTGTGAAAGTACCCATGTGAAATGCCACTGAATTGTATACTTTAAAACGGCTAAATCTATGTCATGTGAATTTTACCTCCATTAAAAAAAAAAATCTCAGGCACTGATGGTGCAGGTGGATTTGCACTTAGACACATGGGATGCCCTAGTTCTGAGGTTCCTCTCTTCCTCTGTTTAGACCGTTGGCAACCTGAGGGTAAGGGTGGGAGCGTATGTGCAAGTAGGGGAAGCTGAGGCTGATCCAGAGTCATTGAGCTATTGGGTGGCTGTGGGCAGGGGAGACAGTCACTGGATGTGTCAACATGGCTCTGTCCCCACATATTCAATCAGACGCTGATCTGGGTGTTGCTATGAAGGTATTTTGTAGATGTGATTAAAGTCCATAACCAGTCAACTAAGCAAGTGAGATTATTCTAGATAATCTAGGTAGGCCTGATTCAATCAGTCAAAAGGCCCTCAGGAGGAGAGCTGAGGCTTCCCCGATGAAGAAGAAATTCTGCCTGTGGATAGCAGCTTCCCCCACCCCTATGTGCCTGAGAGATCCCATTTGTTTTTCCTGATCACCTGCCCTACAGATTTCAGACTTGTCTCTCCAGCCCCCACAATCACTTAAATCAATGCCTTGCAATAAATCTCTTAATATATATCCTACTGTTCTGCTTCTAATCTTCAGGATGAGTTTTCTGCATTGGTGCTAGGTTTTCTGGAATTCTTCTCTAATTTGTTTCATTTAAAGGCACTCATGACTATTTGCAGTGTTAAAGGGGGCCATGGTAGTCCATGGTATGATGTAGCAATAGAGATTTATAGAGAGAGCAGACCATCAGTCTGTGCTCCCCGAGTCTCAGCCTGCCATTCCTGGTGGCCTGTCCCATCTGGATTTTAGGCTTGGCTAACCAGCCCCCATCATCATGTAAGGCAATTCCTTCCACTAAATCTCTTTGTATCTTTATATATATATATGCGTGTGTGTGTGTGTGTGTGTGTATATGTATATGTATGTATCTCCTGTATATATAAATATATCTGCATTCCCTGTTGATTCTGCTTCTCTGATTGAGCACTGATTGCCTGACTGACATAGCAGGTTACTCACCTCTCTGCACCTTGGCTTCCACATCTGTAAAGTGGGACCATATCCCCTCTTCTGCTTTATGTCACAGGACAGTGGTGAGGCACAGACTAGATGGGCCAGGGAGCCTATGTGGGCTCTGTTCCTTGCATCACACAGCAAAAGTCCCACCTGTGCTGAGAGCACCTGGGTGACTCAGTCGGTTGAGTGACTGACTCTTGGTTTCAGCTGAGGTCATGATCTCAGGGTCATGATCTCAAGGTCATGACATCCAGCCCTGAGTTGGGCTCCGCGCTCAGCAGAGAGGCTGCTTGAGATTCTCTCTCTCCCCCTCTCTCTCTGCCCTCCCCCCTGCTTGCTCTCTCTCTCTCTCTCTCTCAAATAAATACATATTTTCTAAAACAAGAGTCCCAACTGTGAAGTCTCAAACCTCCACAGTCGGCCACAGTGTTGGAGGTGGGAGTGGGGTCCTCTGGTTCTACCCTTACTGTGCCCGGTCAGAGAAGGCAGCTCATTCCTTCCCTGGCCCAACAGCTGAATTGCATGAACCAATCTCATGTCAGGGCCGGGGTGCTCCTGGACAGCCCGGGAGAAAAACCTGGTTGGAACTGCCTGGCCATCCCTCTGTGTTAACCCCCTTAGCCTCTCTGAGCCACAGACTTTTCGCTTCATGTAAAAGCCCCCTTTGTACTTATTTTTCACAGAATCCAGCCCTGCAGATACAGTGAGCTTTTCTGTCTGGCCTTCAGTGTCCACAACTTTTGTGCCTGTGGTTTGTAAAAGGAGCGTGTAGTCAACCTAATACAGAAGCCAGCTTAGATAACAAGTTGGTGCATTTATGAAATGGGCACTAACACACCAGAAAGGATTTGATTCTCTATACCTCTCACTGCCTAAAATCAAAATGTTCAGGTCTGCCTTAGAGTAGATGGGCCCTGCACACATGGACTCATTTGAGGGTTTAACTCATGTTTAGATGCTCGGCAAACATTTGTTGACTGAACCTAGGGTGGAAGTTTTTGTTTCTGTGTGATCATTGCTGATGCCACGGAAGGGAAGTTGCAGTGGTTTAGTGTACAGGGCCTGTGGCCCGTGGGTGAAGCCTCTGATCCTCTGAGCCTCAGTTTTCTCACCTCTAAGATGAGAGGTGACTGGGTTTGAGGCTTTTGAGGGGCTCTCCAGCTCTGCAGACAGCACTCCTGCCAGCCCATGGCTTTATTGCTAGAATCTGGGTTACCAGGGGAGAACGGTGCCAAGCCACAGTGTGCCTGACAGGAAAAAAGGCAAAGACATTCTCCAGGATAGATAACATGTTAGGCCACAAAACAAGTCATGATAAATTTTTTTTTTAAAGATTTTATTTATTTATTTATTTGAGAGAGAGAGAAAAACAGCATGAGAGGGGATAGGGTCAGAGGGAGAAGCAGGCTCTCCGATGAGCCGGGAGCCCGATGTGGGACTCGATCCCAGGACTCCGGGATCATGACCTGAGCCAAAGGCAGTCGCCTAACCAACTGAGCCACCCAGGCGCCCAGTCATGATAAATTTTTAAAAGATTGAAATCATATGAAGTATCTTTTTCAATCAGAATGGAATGAAACTAGAAATAAGTAGCAGAAGGAAAATTCAAAAATATGTGAAAATTAAACCACACATTTTTGAACAACCGATGGATTAAAATCACAAAGGAAATTAGAAAATGTCTACAAATGAAAACAATAACAAAACATACCCAAACTTGTACGATGCAGTGAAAGCAGTGCAAGAGGGAAATGTATAGCTATAAACACTTACATTAAAAAAGAAGAAGGCAGGTGGGCGCCTGGGTGGCTCAGTCGTTAAGCATCTGCCTTCAGCTCAGGGCATGGTCCCGGGGTCCTGGGATCGAGTCCCGCATGAGGCTCCCTGCTCAGCGGGGAGTCTGCTTCTCCCTCTCCCACTCCCCCTGCTTGTGTTCCCTCTCTTGCTGTGTCTCTGTCTGTCAAATAAATAAAATCTTTAAAAAAAAAAAAAAAGAAGCAGGCACCTGACTGGCTCAATTTGTAGAGCAGGTGACTCTTAATCTTGGGGTCATGAAATCAAGCTCCACACTGGGCTTAGAGTTTATTTAAAAAAATACAATAAAAATTTTAAAAAGAAGGATTTCAAATCAACAACCGAATTTTACATCTTAAGGAACTAGAAAAAGAAGAACAAACTAAACCCAAGGTAACAGGAGCGAGGAAATAATAAAGATTAGAGCAGAGAGAAATAGAGAATAGAGAAACAATGGAGAAGAGCAATGAAAACAAAAGTTGTTTCTTCAAAAAGACCAACAAAATTGACAAACCTTTAGCTTGAGTGAGAAAAAAAGGGAAGACTCAAATTACCAAAATCAGAAATGAAGGTGGAGACATCACTACTGATTCTACAGAAATAAAAAGGATTATAAGAGTACTATGAACAATTTGTTAGAGGAGGTCACCAAGAGCATGTGATTGCCGGTTGACCCATGAGCTGGACCCAGGCAATCAGAGGCTCCTTCCCTCCCCCGCTGCTTCCCCCCATCCTTGGAATGTACGTTGTGCCCACTGTTGCTACACTAGGAGCTACTTCAAAGACACAGCTTGAGAGAGTAATATATTATTAAGACCATCTGGGCAGTATATGTGACTGAACCCCGTTAAGATTTCTATATGAGCTCTTAAGATTCTGGTGGACACGTGCAGAGATCTACTTGTCTTGTGGCCACTCGAGACGAGCCTCATATGTAAGTGGCCTTGCTTATTAAAACTGCCACCTACAATCTGGGAAGGTCTGCGTCTTTCTTCAGTCTCTCCTTGTCCTCCATGTATGGGGGCCAGTTTCAGATTTCACCTGGGGAGCTCCCACATTTGCAAACTAACATGATTGTCTGCGAACACATCGGACAACCTAGATGAAGTGGACAGATTCCTAGAAACATGAACTACCAAGACTGAGTCATGAAGAAATAGAAAATCCGAATAGACCCGTAACTAGTAATCAAAACCCATAATGAGTAATCAAAACCCCCCTAACAAAGGAAAGCACTGGACCTGGGGGCTCCACTGGTGAATTCTAGCAAACATTTAAAGAACTAACACCAGGGCACCCAGCTGGCTCAGTCAGAAGAGCATGCAACTTTTGATCTCAGGGTCATGAGTTCCAGCCCCACATTGGGTGTAGAGATTACTAAATAAATAATAAGCTGTTAAAAAATAAACAGAAAGAAAGAACTAAAACCAATCCTCGAATTCTTCCAAAAAATTGAAGAGGAGGGAGCACTTCTTAACTCATTGAGGCCAACATTACGTTAACATCAAAGCCAGACAAAGACACTGCAAGGAAACAAAACTACAGAGCAATATCCTTTATGAATATTGATGCAAAACTCCTCAGCAAAGTACAGTTGACCCTTGAACAATGCAAGGGTTAGGTAGGGGCACCGACTTCCTACACAGTCAAAAATCCATGTATGACTATCGACTCCCCAGACCTTAACTACTAATAGCTTGCTCTTATCAGAAGCCTTACCAACAACATAAACAGTTGACGAATACATATTTCATATGTTATATGTATTATATACTATATTCTTACAATAAAGTAAGCTAGAGAAAAGAAAATATTAAGAAAATCCTCAGGAAAATACATATACAGTACTGTACTATATCCCACCCCCCAAAAAAATCCACATATAAGTGGACCTGTGTGGTTCAAACCTGTGTTGTTTGAGGGTCAACTGTACTAGTAAACTGAATCCAGCAGCATATTAAAAGGATTAATGGCTAAGTTAGTCTTAATTCTATTGTTTCCTTTAGGATAAGTTCTAAGAAACAGAATTCACTGTGTTAAAGAAACACAAACATCTTGTCAGGAACTGGGAAGAATCTGAGCTCTTACCCTGTTTGGAAGCTGACAACTTAGCTGACCTCAGTTTCATGGATGCTAGCAGAAGACACAGCATTCCTCAGAGACAAAGGAGCTTAGGACAGCAGTAGAAGCAGCCAGAGTACCAGCACCATCTTGCAGTTCCCTGAGCCCCAATTCCCCCAGGACAAGACAAAAGAGGGTCAAGAGACTCCTGCATGCGCAGTGGGTTGCATTAAAAAGAGAAAGGGAAAGAGGGAGAAGAGCGTAGAGAATTGAAATCTTTCATACTGGAAAGTAAAGCATGCCTGCCCTTTGCTCTAAAGGCAGACACTATCTCTGGCTACCAAGGTTGGAAGAACACCTGCACTTTGCTCCAGAGGGAGACAGCTCTATCTTCTAAGGCTGTTGGTTCTGCAAACATCTTTGGAAAGACAGTCCAGGACAAAGGCATTCATGGTTCTAGCTCATGCATCATGCAGAAATTTGAGAAAAGTGAGAGACCTGTAGCAATAA